CTAGGTGTATGATGAAAGCAAGCTATAGAAAGGTAGGAACGGCCAGGCTCGGTGGCTCAGCCTGTAATATCAAGCCTTTGGGAGGCCGAGGTCAGTGAATTGCCTGAGCCTGCGGGTTCGAGACCGCCTGGGCAACTTGGCGAGACCTCGTATCCACAATAAACCAAAAAAAAAAATCAGCCGGGCATGGTAGCATGCGCCTGTAGTTTCAGCTACTCAAGGCTGAGATGGAAGGATCGCCGGAGCCCAGCAGGTTGAGGCTGCAGTGGCCAGGAGTGGCCACTGCACTCCAGTCTGGGCAACGGAGTGAGACTCCAACTCAAAAAAAACCCAAAAAACCAAAAAAAATTCAGGTTAGTGGTTGGGAATTGAGAAACAAATGAATGGGATTTAAGAGGAGTACAAGATAACAGAAACTTCATTTTGATTTTCAACTGGGTGAAGGGCACATGGTTATTAATTATATTTTATGCTGCCTACAGTCATATTGTTATAAAAGTTGTATTTCACCTGGATTGACAAAACTGTTGGGCATACACAGGCACTTGGAAAACACTGCTTCAAAGTAGATTCAGAAACAGAAGTCAGACCCAGGTTCAAGTCTCAGTTCTGCTACTTGCTAATTGTTTAGTTTTGGGCAACTCAAATAATTAACTTTTCTGGGGTTTATTTATTTCGTCTGTATAAATGCCATAAAAATCACTTTTCCACTCCAACTCACAAGGCTAAATTTGACAGGCAAATGGGACAATGTGTGAGAAATTTTTAACAGGGTAAAGGTAGGAGTAATTTTGAGAACTAAGAGCAAAACCTTGGATATTAGGAAAAAAAAAACTAGCAGTAAATAAACCAGCCAATAAAAGAAATCTATTTTGTCATCCCTGATTTTAAAAACATAACATCAATCTCAACATGAAAAAAAATTAAGTTTATCAATTCTTTTTTTTTTTTTTTTTGAGTTGGAGATCCTTCCGCCTCAGCTTCCCACGCAGCTGAACTACAGGTGTGTGCCACCATGTCCAGCTAATTTTTTTGACTTATTGTAGAGACGAGGTCTAGAATAGTTGCCCAAGCTGGTCTCAAACCCCTGGGCTCAGGCAATCCTCTTGCCTTGGCCTCCCAAGGTGCTGGGATTACAGGCTTGAGACATCGTGCCCGGCCAGTTTATCAATTCTTAAATCATAGAATATGGACAGGTATTCACACTATGACTATGGCTCTTTATGCTAATTATTCACCAAAGAACTGAATTTTCTAATATCAAAACAAAATAAGAGCAATGCAAGTATTCTTACTTTTTAAAAATGAATGCCACATAGCTAGAGCAACTGTTGCTAATATTGTTCTCACTGCCTTTTCTGTAAAGTGAGCAGGTGGCACATTTTATTAGCCCTATGGAGAAACTAACTCAGAGGTAGTACAGCATGCCTGGAGTTCTATACCAACTCAGTGACAGAACTTGGAAGACACTAACTGCCTAGTTCTTCTGGGTTCACTAAGATACTAAAAACATTATCTAAGCCGGGCTTGGTGGCTCAGCCTGTAATCCCCCACCTTTGGGAGGCTGAGGTGAGTGAATTGCTTGAGCCCGCGGGTTCGAGACCCGCCTGGGCAGGCG